AAGGGCTCAAGGACGCCCCCACAAAAATAGCAAAGCAAAAATGAATACAATAAAGTCCTACGCCACATCATCCCCCATGGCATACTCCTCATTGTACCAAGAATCGGAGGCGAGCTTGTCTGCATCATCATAATCAATATCGTCCCCACCAGGTGTGTCGGGGTCGTAATCATATGCCTCACAAGCCGCACGTGCTTTAGCACGCACATTCCAAAGTTCGGCCTCAGACACCTTCTTATCGGTATGAAGGGACTGGTATACGTCAAGTCGAGCTTCGACATGAACCCACACCTCATATAAGTCCTGCAACACAACAGGATCAGCCGAAACATGAGATGTAGAGGGTTGCGACTGCCGTTATGCATCCTCCGCCTTCATAGCAATAACTTGCTCATTCAACACGGACAACTCTGCCTCCAAATCTTGGATATGTTCCTCAAACATCACTACCTTAAGCGCAGACGTCTCCACCTTATTGTCCCGTTCGGGCCTACAAACACGAAGGGCATCTTCCAAAGCCTCAGAGATGGCAGTCGCCCTATCCCATTCAGCACGAGCCAATTCATCAGCCCTAACACTCAGTTTGCCCCTTAGGTCGATAGCCTTCATCGCCCTCCTATCAAGCTCATCAGTTAAGGTAGCCATCCGCGCTTGGAGGTCGGTGTTCTCGGCCATCACCCCCTTGCTCATCTCAAGTTCATATTCCTTCGCCTTAAGAGCCGCCTCAAGTTCACTATATTGGGCAATGGCCTTCATTAGGTCTTCGTCCCGCTTTTTCAACTCTTGGACCTTTTACACCAACTGTTTCTCCTTCTGCTTGAGTCCATCACGGAACAACTGAAAATCATTTTCCTAAGTAAAGAGGTCGGCCAATGCATGATGTTTTGTGCGGTATTCCTTGTATTTAGAGGCTACTCTCCAGAATACGACCATCTTCCGCCTATCCCTCCGATCGTGTTCAATCTCCATGATGAGGGTCTAGCATTCAAAACAAATTCAAAACGAGGAATGGGTTAAGTATACAAAATGAATTCAAAAACAAAAAGAAAAGAGATAAGCACTTACCCGCAAAGCCATGTCGGAAATGCCCTGCGATAGCTCTGCATCACTCATTGCATTAAGCACCGCGTGCTCGGAAGCAGCATACAAAGCGGTAAACGCGGATGCTGCCTGCTCACAATTCGCCAACAAGTCGTAATCGACAGGGATGACTATGTGTCGATCGGGACCCTTCGTCCTCACTTCCACTCGAGTATGCCGCTCCAAGAAAGCTCATACATCTTCGGGGTCGACGTCCGAACCTGAACCGTCATCCTCGGCATGTACAACTCCACCACCTCTGACAGAGAAGACGTGCCACCCTCAACGGATCGTACAGACCCCCCGCCTTGATATATCCCTTCGGTCCTGGGGGACCTCTCCGCCAAAATGGCATTTGCTATAAGAACGGGACCCGTGCCTGACCCAGGTAAAGACACCGCTCCCGAAGCATCAATTCGATTCTTTCCAATATAGGTGGCGACGACCTTCCCGATCTCTACCCTCCTCTTTTTCCTCGACGATGATTCATCCCCATTAGAGGGCTCGTCCATGAAGTGGTAGATGGGTCGAGAGAAGATCTCATCCCGAACAACGACGTCATGAGAAAAATCTGTGGTCGATATAGTCTGAGCACGATCTCCTCGTACGGATTCAGCTAGTACAAATTGTATCCCCACCGATGCAACGACCTAGCGAAATACAGGGACTGAGGCCTTCTTCTTAGAAGCCCTACGACCTATCACCACGAAGAGGCCGTGTCAACAAACGACAGCGTACAGTCAAAGGCCAAAGCAAAAGAAACATTCACCAGATGGAACTTTCGGCCCAAACCATTTGAGGAAGGCGGGCCAATCTCGAGTCCCCACCACACAAGGTAGTATGCGAGCTACCTAGTTCTCGATACCGATGACAAAAAGAGGGGCACGCCTCTCAGTTATACAGAAAAGACACAAGTGAATACAAATTAGAAAGAATGAAAGTAAGCAAGTAGTACCAATACCTACGGTTATGATTCCACTGTTCTGGAAATCCAGCGGGGTTCGACACCAAGTGCTCAGTTTTGATGAAGAAATATTTGTGCCAAAATTTGCGGCTAGCTCGGTCGTCTGTTCCGACAACCAACTCCCTAGTCCCACGATATCGCATGTGTATCATAGTGCCCTTATGAAAACTCGAGGAAAATAAATGTAAAAGGTGATGAAGGGTGACTTCACACCCAGCCAACTCCGCATATTTTGTCAACACTAGAAATATTTTGTACGTATATGGAGATAGTTGTGTCGGGCAGACTTCATAGAACCGACAGAATTCCTCCGCCAACGAAAGAAGATGGAGGGTGTGACTGATCACAAAAGGGTATACATAGAAAACACAATATCTCGGTCTATGAACCTCCACGAGGTCCCTCCCAGCCGGAACCATCTCAACATGAGGAGGAATATTATACGTAGACCAAAGTTTATTTATGTGAGCCGACCCAGTTTTAGAGACCACCAGAACATGGGAGGGGGCAGGTTCCTTGTGGAAATCTTTTCTGGACATATGGTTTCTTGGTAGTATCTCCTCTACGGTAGGGAAACTACCCTCCTCCTCAACTGCTATATCCTCGCTATCGGAAGGAGGAGCCATGGATAATGGAGTGGCATCAGAAACTTCTTCATGTGTTCGGTGTGTTCTAGGCATCTTGGTAATAGAGGGTGTGTTAGTAAAACTTAAAATGAGGAACGGTAATTGAACTGAAAAGATGAGAAGAGAAACCATGAAAGCTGAGTTGAAGAAATGAGAAAGATGATCAGTTCCGGAAATGTGTACACAAAGAAATGGCTAAAAGTTTCTGAAGAAATAAAACCTTCACCTATTTATAGGGTTGGATGGCAGGGGAATCGAAGCGGAAGACTGTCAGTAGCGCTAAAACCAAAGTGACAAGCAATCAGATGTTATCTCGGAAGGTGCGTAATGATGACACACGTGAGAGTGACATCACATCCTTATAACGATGTCGATTAGGGTTCTATGGGGCATGTCAACATCTCGACCACGGCCAAACCGGTACAACTCAACGACCAAATTCTACAACGGGAATGAGTGATATCCGTTCATCGAGGACGTGTAGGGCTACAACCTCAACAAGCGGAGGGACTAACTGTATTGGTCCAAATTTGGCAACCACGACAATGGCTAAGCGAGGCTTGAGACGGAGTCACTACAATACAACAACTGACAGTCGTTGTGGCAAAGGATGACAATCAGAGGCGAGTGGTCGAAATGAAGCAGTTTTGGTAGTCTAAATTTAGAAAGAAACAGGAAGAATATACCTTTGGAATATTCTTTGTGCTGTACCTTTTAGGGTTTTTTGGGAGAATGTCTCTTATAAATAGGAGGAAATAATAGATAAGAAGGGGATATGCCCTTTTCGAGAACTGAGAGATACTGTAAGGTTGAGAAAAGAATATACAAGAAAGCTTATTCATAGCATCCATATACTTGTTGTTCATCATTTATCTATAGATCACAAGATCCCACTTAGACATTAAATGCTTTCTACTCCACGTCGCCAGAAAAAGGAAACACCCAATCATATAATCATTGGGTGACTATTCTTCTATACCACAATCCCTGTTATTTCTTGCATTTATTACACATTTATGATATTGTACATCTTGTAAATCATAACATATTAAGTTCTCTATTTAATGCTTATAAACGTTGCTCATTATACAAAAGTTTAGTTCCCCTTTGATCTAGAGATTATTAAATTCAACTGAGATTCATCTTATCAATTTATACTAATTAGTTTAGCATTTATTTGCACAAACACTTGTTATCTCAATTAACTTAGGATAATAGAATGCATGCAATCACATTCGTAGTATGAGTTTTGTATAATTTCAGAATTCTCACAAATATTATATATTCGTTAAATTTGATAGCGAAAATGCATATTTTGGGGAAAAATCTCATTAAACAGGTCTTTATATGACCTACTACAACTAATCGTTGCTAGTTAGTATGAAGTTTCACTTTATTTTTATCACTATCATGATAAATGTTAGTGAATTTACAAGTAATTACAGTTGAAAAATAAAATGAAGAAAAATAAATAAATATTCTTCAGGTTGAGGCGCAAATATCTCGCTCTCTTTAAGGAGATTCAAGCCCACTGCGGTAGCATCTTCACCGATCCAACAATAATACTCTTGAATTGTTCCCTTCAGGATACAACAACCCGACAACGTCGTATGACTCGAACAAACTCTGGACAAGTTGTTGAATCCAAAGTTCCACAAAAACGAACACATTCCTTCAACAAAAATAATGTTCTCTACAACTCTTTTGTAGAGAAAAAGTTCGGGACTTAAATTCTTTCTTACTCTCTTAACTCTCTTTTTCACAATAACAACCACACAACTTTTTCATGTACACCATAACATTTTTCTCATTCACAATACAAAGAAGAAATACCACAATTTATTGATGTAGAATCTCTTTCTTGAAATAAATAATAAGATCGTGAGATAATAAAATAGTAGAGCATGAGTTGGTGATTACAAAATATAAGTTTTAGTGGGTAATAAGTGGTGAATCATGGCATCAGTGGTTTCACGAGTTACACCAAAGTAATGACTACTTTCTTGCCAATTTATAACCAGTATCTCACAAGAAATAATGCACTTTAATTTTATAATTTTATTTTAATATTAAAATGCACTAACACCAACAACAAATAAACAAAGTAATTTAATGTAATCATAGGGTGTGAATAAGCATTTTTATTTCATATTGTGTGTTTTGTGTGCGCTATTGTTAGTTCCTTAATATGGTGGGTATAATTGGGAAAGCGAAGAGAAGGGTTCCATCTAGAAATTTCTCCTTTGGAAATGGGAATTCTCCCAAATAACGACAACACGGAGCGGGGTATTCTAGTAATTACATTAAACCCGGCGTACCCTACGCACTCGGCGCAAGCTAATTGACCAACAGCCATCACAAAGCCCAAGGAACCTTCGAGATTCTCCTCTTGCATAGTAATTGCCTTTTCCTGCTCCATTCCACTCCGCGACTCTCAAAGCCCCCGAAGGGAAACAGGTTACCCTTTCTTCGGTCATTTCGTCATTCATTAGATCTGTTTCTTTTTTCGATCTGCGTAACTAGGTTTCGCGATATTCTTTTTTGTTTATAAATTTAGTGTATCATTTTCGAATCGTTAACTGGATGGCTTTGTTTGATTAATTGAAAATTTTGCGTGTGCAGGTGAATCTACGGCATCGATATTCTTTCGCCATGTGAGTACTGTTAAACCATCGATTATTGTTTAATTTTTTCAGCTTCACTGTTGATGTGCTATTTTTATTGCGAGCTTTTTAGAATATCAAATCATCGCGCATTCAATTTGTGCCCTTATTGTAATTGTTTGAATTATTCATTTTGAGTATAGGTTGTATGTTCGAAATGGATTATATGTTTAAAAGTTATGTGAACGCAAAAGAAAAGATATCAGTCTAAAAAGACTAGGGTCCGAATCCCGACAACACAAAACATTTAGGTGATCTCTTTTACATCTGTCTAAGATGTGGGCATAAGTTATCCCGTGAGACTGTGCAAGTACCCGGTTGAATACCCGAGTTGTGCGCAAATTGATCTGAATGCCACCTCTTATTTACGAAAGGAAAAAGACTAGAAGTGACTTAGTTGAGTGTAATGGATAGACAAAAGATTTTACAACCTTAGCCCTATGAATTTATAGCTAAAAGTGGAATAAGGGGTGAGTTTGAGCTAAAACTTGAATGTAGACCTTGGCAATTGCTTTAGCGTTTACTGCTTTATTAATGTTATATACACTGCATTGAATTTATGTTTTGTGTTTTATGTTGTGTTTCATATCATGTACATTATGAAAGTACTGTATTAATAGTATGTTTGGCCAAACTTCTAAAATCAGCTTATTTTGAAAAGTATTTTTTTCAAAAGTACTTTTCAAAAAGTATTTTTGGTGAGAATTAGCTTGTATTTGGGTACTTAATTTGAAAAGCACTTTTGAGTAGCAATATGTGTTTGGCCAAGCTTTTAAAAAGTGCTTCTAAGTGTATTTTACGCAAAAGTGTTTTTCTACTTCTCAAAAGCTGCGTCTGCTTCTACCTAAAATCACTTCTTTCCTTCTAAAAGCTTGGTCAAACACCTTAACCTTAGAAAAAAACACTTTCGGCCAAGCAAAAGCTGTGGCCAAGTAAGCTATAAATGTTGACACTAATATGTATATCTTATCTATTTGTAGCCTTTAGTATGCTTATATGTTAAGTAATGTCAGTAGAAATTCGATTCAGTGTTTCTCATCACAGTTAGTTTACTATACTACGGCTACAAAACATTACGTAGGTGAAGAGACAAGTTTTGACCGGTAAACTTCATAAAATTGGTACCCGATAAAAAAAACTTAATTAAAAAAATGTATTTGACTAGTAAAAAATACCCCAGTTTGATTGTAGATTTTTTTTTCCGGTGTGGTAAAATTTATTGATATTGAATAAAAGGCCAAAAGTGAGGAACTTATACAAAAATGGTCCTTTATGATTGACGCACAATCATCCATACTAATAGGGATGTAGATAAAGCACCTAAGTTAACCACAAAGGGAAAACAAGCCCTCAGCTTTCTAAACACATTTTTTAATCCCTTCAAGTATTTACTATTTCTGTCCCTTCTAAGAGCCCAAATAAGGACGGAAGGAGCCCTATTGCATGCTCTGCACCACCCTATTCTTCTTCTAAATGTCCAATTACGCATCACATCCTCAATTGTCTCAGGCATTTGCTTTGTATTTCAAACAGGTTTAGTCCTGTCTATAATAATTGGCTGCCGATTGACACTGCTCCAACAAGTAATTTTTTTTATCTTCTGCTAACCGCTTGCACATGAAGCACTATAACCATTGATCAATTTTTTTCTTTATTGGAGCTCAAGAGTGCTTTCTATGCTGTTGCTCCATTTAAGTCTATCTCTTCTCTAATTGGTGACTATGCTATTATGCAGTCTTGGTGACTATTTATTACGTGGAGTGATGTGCTTCTTGCGAAATCCTCCCAAAATTTCATGATACACTTCCACAGTCCAGTTTCATATGATGCTCTAATCACATTAGTGCACTCGCGAGTAGAAGTCCCATACTTTGCTTGGATGATCTCTTTTCTAAAGCCAACTTCCTCCCGGTTATATCTCCCATGCCACTTCATAAGCATGATTTTGTTGTGAAGTGCCAGGTCTTTAACCCCAAGGCCCCAAGTGTTTTGGGCATTGTAAATTTGGACCATTTGACTAAGGCCTAATTTTTTTTAAAAAGATTAAGACGTCTGAATCTGAATAGTAAGACATCTAAATTTGAATACACATCGGAATATTAAGATGTGTGTTAAGATCTGAATACGAAATGATTAAGACTGTTTGATTTTTAATATCTGAATGTATAAAATTTATCTTATTTGAAAATTATTAAACATAAAATTCAAATGAAATACTAATTAATCTAATATTCTATCAATAAAATATATAATTTTTTAAAAATATAGTAGTTGTTGGTGGTGATGGCTAACGGTGGTGCTTGTGAATGCCGACTAGAGGCGGTGGTTGGTGGTAGGTTTGGTTGATGGTGGTGGTTCAGGGTAGTAACTAGTGGTGATTAAAAGTGGTGGCGATTATGATTGAGGATGGTGGTGGTGAGGAGGTGTGAGCGACTGGCTGTAGTGGGCACGCGAAGAGGTAGAGGACGACCTAAGAAATATTGGGGAGAGGTGATCAGACATGACATGGCGCGACTTAGGATTACTGAGGACATGGCCCTTGCCAGGGAATTATGGAGGTCGAGCATTAAGGTTGTAGGTTAGGGGAGAGTTATGAATATTTCTACAGCACAATAGAGTGAGACTAGCCAGTTAGGAGTTAGACTGAGAATGTCATTGGTCGTCTATTGATGCAGGGCTTTACCTACTAGTTTTACTATACCAGTCATCTATTTCGTATTTCGTATTCTGTATTTCATATCTCTTATTATGCTGTTATTTTATTATGCATTTTTATGGTACTAATATATCAGCTCCTGTTGTTTTGTTGAGCCGAGGGTCTCCTGGAAACAGCCTATCTACCCTTCGGGGTAGGAGTAAGGTCTGCGTACATATTACCCTCCCCAGACCCCACTTGTGGGATTATACCGGGTCGTTGTTGTTGTTGTTGTTGTTGTTGTTGTTGATGGTGGTGGTGAGTGGTGATAGTGAATAATGGTGGGTGCTGGTGGTAGTTGTGATTGAGGAAGATGGTGGCAGTTTATAATGATGATTAGTGTCAGTTATGATTGTTGATGGTGATGGGGTGGTTAGTTGTGGTAGTTGAGGTGGATGAGTGTTTGTGGTTGAGAATGATGGTGGTGGTAGTCGATTATGGTGGTAGCTATGATTGAGGATGGTGGTGGTGATGGTGGTTGAGTATGGTGGTGGTGGCGGTGGTGGCGGCATGGTGGTAGGTGATAATGGTAGGCAGTGGCGACAATTAATAATGAATATGGATGATAGCATCTTAATGAAATTAAGTCTTTGTTATGGATCTTAATCATACAGACCTAATAGACCCATTAAGTGGTTATGAAGTAAAAAAAAACACACACTTAATGATTAAGATCTGAATAATTAAGATTCATACTTTAAAAACAAACGCATGTATGATTAAGATTCAGACCTCCATTAAGTGCAAACAAATGAGACCTAAGTGGAACTTATGTTCTTTATTATTATTCTCCCTTAGGAAAGATCTTATGAGTTTGTCAAGCTGTTTTTGCATTTTGACTGGGATTGGCAANCCCCCCCCCCAAACAAAAGTTGCCCTGTGTCTAGCACCTAAGGGGAGACCTAAATAGGAAAGGATCCTGTGATGCAAAACATAATGTCGGCCAGCTCCTCCAAGTCAGGGACTACATTAATAGGATAAATGATACTCTTGGACATTTTTATGTTGAAGCCTGAAATAGATTCAAAAAGCATCAGGGTAAGATTGACATATTGCACTTTAGTTTTTTTTGCACCACAGAAAATAAGGGTGTCATAAGCAAATAAGAGGTGGGATACAAAGATTGATGATCCTGAGTTATTCCTCACTTCAAAACCTTTTAACTATTGCAATTTCTTGGCCTTTTCCATCATTTTACTGAGCCCCTCCATAGCCAGAATGAAGAGAAAGGGAGATAGGGGTTCTCCTTGCCTAATCCGTCTTTTAGGAGAAAAATCCCACTGGGCTTTATAGCTCCCCCTCCCTCCTGGTACCTACTACGTGAAGAAACATATCCTATTTCGGGACTCTAGGCATCTAAACTGATTAGTGGAGTGGATCAAAACATTTTGTAAGTCACAATGGAAGTCAAAGGCGCCCAGAAGAATTGCCTTCTTCACTTCATGTGCTATGTCATATGTCATATTCGTAGCTGACTACCTATGAAGGGAAAACTGTATTATAGTTAATTGGTATTATTTGTGTGATGGCACATGGAGAATGTTGATTATATCTCTTGCGTACTATTACTGTTGTTGAGTTATGGGTTGCCCATATCCCATATATTTAACATTCAATAGGCACTTCCTAAATAGTGGTGGATGCATTAGCAATTAGAAGGATAAGCAATAAGATGCTAGAAAGAAAAAGTTAGGAAAATAGCTCCTATTTTTAAGTATTGTTTTCCTTTTCTTTTCTTTTTTCTCTTTCTTTCTTTTCTCTTATCCCACCGTTCACCACCACTTCCACCACCAGTAAACAGTAAACAGCTTTCACTGCCAAGCAACAACCTTCATTCTAAAGTTCATTCAGCCCCTTTCTCAGCTAGTTAGCTCAGACAAATAAGTTGCAAAGGATCCACTAACTCTCGGAAAAAATAGAACCCCAACACCAGTTTCAGAAATCCAAGAAAAGATTGCCTAATAGGTAAAAGTTCAGCTATAACCAGAAAAGAGAACCTACTTAAATTTTTCAGTACAGAATACAAAGAAATGGCAAACTAATGACAAAAAAATAGAAAAAGGACAATTTTCTTTCCACAATCAAACAAAGGAGATGATGGTGTTCAATTTGTGTGACATGTCCTTTTCCATGCTTGTGTCTGGTGATGGATGATGTTGAAGGTTCTNGGGGGAAGGAGAAGAAGGGTGGGGGAGCTAATATAAAATTTTTTCCTTTTCAATTTTTTTGTTTAAAATAGAAGAGTATGTGGCAAGCTTGGATTGGCGCGTGACAAACACAACATTTTTAAAATTGGAATTGGCTGAGTAAGGAGGTATTAATACCACTTTAAATGAGTTCATGGGTTACTAGGAGATCCCTGCATAGTTTAAGGTCGTAACTGAAAAATATGACTACTTTTGGGGGCAGGGGATTTATGTGTTTTCCCTATTTATTATGCTTGGTGAATAGATCTTACTTTATGTTTGTTGATCTGCAAAAAGTTTGTTTACAATTTTTTTCTTTTTGGTAGGACTTTGGAGCTATTCCATATTTTCAGTTTGTTTGTTGAATTATTGTGGACTTGTCTAACGAGCTAAAGTGTGAATTTTAGTTAGTTCACCATTCCTCATTGCCAATTCTGAAGTTGTATCTGTATGTCTGGGATTTTTTTTTAAAAAACTATGCATCACTCCCTCGATGTGTTTTTGATATACCTGATGTAATTTTTTTTCCTTTTATGAGCTCTAGCAGCTCTTTTTATGCCTTAGGAAGTATGTTGCTAATACTTTTGTTTGTTCAGGTCGGACGAGGAAGTCGTTGACCAAAAGAAGACACTAGAAGAGACTTGCAAGCCCAAGTGTGTAAGGCAACTTAGGGAATATCAGGTGATTCCCATTACAATGAAAAAAGAATTTGTCTTTCAGTGGCCTCATTTGTGCATATTTAATTGTTGGAGATATTTCTTATTCCTTAGGGCCTCTTTGTGCTGGCTGTGTTAAGTAAATTTGAACTAGTGATTAACAATAATCAAGACTTGATTTGTTATTCCTTTAGGGCCTCATGAACTTCCTTCTTCTTCAATCTATAGCTAGACTGGATCTTCTAGACCAAGCTTACAGGTAAGGCTTTCAAATGAAGACCAACAGCTATTCATCTGTCTTCTAGTTCCTATGTTCCTGGCCTGCTTGAAATGCTACAGTGCCTTTCTACCTCCCTTATTTCATGCCATTGTCCTGTGCTTGAACCTCTTTCTAGATTAAGCTTATAGTTAAAGCTTTCAAATGAAGACCAACTGCTATCTTACTATGACTTCTATGTTCCCCTATTCCTAGTCTCATTGAAAGACTGGCAGCAAAAGTGCAAAACTGTTAGATTTCTACATCTTCTGCTCAGCTGACTGTTACCTTGTAATGGGCAAAGAGAAGTTTTGGAAAGGAGGAAGTAGTCACCGAAGGAAACAGTAGAAACAAGTCCTGTGTCCTAGCTACGGAGAAACACCCAAAGGGCTTGAAACATTTTTACGGTTTCCCCCATTGTTTTGGAAATTTTTTTGTGTTTTTTTTTTTG